GGGCCAGACGGAATCTGCGAACATTTTTTGCTATTTCTGCGGAGAATTTTGGTAAAAATCCACGGATTTCTGCGGAATTATTTTGGGAGTATCCAGCGGTGTATCATAACTAAAACCTTATTATATGAAATAAAAAGTAATAAATTACTGAATAAAAACTGAATAAATTCAGATTTACACATTTACTCAAGTAAACAAACAGAATTAATGATGGGCTAAAAATCTGCAGAAATCTGCAGAATTCTGCACGTGCAGATTCCCGTGTGGGCCTAGTTATTGCCTAGCAGGCACACAATGCCATAAGTAGTTAATATTAGGTTAGATTTAGGTTGTGACATCAGGTGACCAAAATTCAGACTATGTCTAATGTTCAGAGTCTAAGGACAACATTATTTTGATGTCTAATAATAAAATCAAATGGCATTGATATTTGGTTGACTTAAGGTTGTGTTGGAAAGTGACCAAAATCCAATGTTAAGCAAACATCTTAAAGCAACGCCATTTTGACATCAAATACCGACATTTATTCATCAGGTATGACAACCAAAATCCAGAGTCTGATAGACATCATAGTGATGACGTCCACACAACGTCAAGCTGTAACATCATTGATATTTGGTTGATTTCAGGTTGGACGTTGGACATTGACTTAACGGTGAGTTCTGACGTCAACCCGATTTTCATTTCCAAACAAAATGCAACATTCCCATGACATTAGGATATAATGTCAATCAGACATGACGTTGACATATTGTGCCTGCTGGGTGTTTAAGGCCATTTTGTTCATCATACAGTAAATATTTGTGATCTTCTCATCAGTGATATGCTTCTAAACAGTCTCTGGGGCAATGCGTTTAAAGATTTTGGAAATCTTCTCGGACACTTTTTACGCTTCCAAACTGTTTGCTGCCCATGTTGAGGTAGTTCATTATGATGCGATTTAACTTCTATGTGCAATTTAATTGGACTGGAATCACAGGGCTGATACTTCTAATCTGCATAGACAAGAAAAAATAATGACTGCAAGTTGAAGGAAAGTAGTGGAGTAAAAGTACCGATACAGAACTAAGAGTGTACTCAAGGGAAAGTGAAAGTACACGTTTTCAAAACTACTTATGCCGAGTTCAGACTGCATGATTTTAAAAGTAGTCGTGTCACAAATGTTTTTACACTGCATTACTATCTGGGCTAGCGTTTCGTCGCTGCTTTGTTAACACTGCAAGATGGTTCGGCGACATGGACATTCACATTGCATAACTTTACTATAGGGAGAATTGCCGACAACTTAGTCCAAACTACGTCTCAATGCCAAAAACATGTAGTATATCTTTTGTTATTAACTACATAATGAGAAAGAAGCCTTTAATGGGGTAGAACATGTACATGTTTGCTCACCTGGGTTTAAAGGGAATTAGCCATTTCTCCTCAACTTAAGCTGATAATAAACTAATTTCTTTCTGTATGAAACGTCAAACAGACACGGTTGCTCCTGAGTCCTGTCAAACCTCCACTAGTTTTTCCTCAATTTCGTGGGTCCAAATAAACCGAAAAAGAGCGCTTTTAACTTCTACCCCAGCCTCCCGCTGGCCTGCAGCAGGTATACACACACGCACACACAAGTGAAAACTGCTCATTGGCTGCAGGCGATAGCTGATTTTATTTTCAGTCAAAACTCAATTCACACGGCATGATTTGAATCGCCGACAGCTCCAGATATTTAGCACGCCAAATATCTCACAGGCATCGGCGACTCATCGGCGATTCTCTCAGATCGCGTCTTTGATCGTTCATACTGTGTGATTGTCACTCATGTGCACGAGCAGCGATTTGCCTGTGATTTCAGGCATTTGTCGGCGATTTCTCAAAACCTGTCGGCGAGCCAAAATCAGGGCTAAAATCACGCAGTCTGAACTAGGCATTAATAAATTACAATTTCTGAGAAAAGTTACTCAATTACAGTCATTTGAGTATTTGTAAGTAGTTACTTTACACCACTGGATATTATGCAGTGAAAATTAACTGAAAATTACCAGTCCCAAGCCTTGCAACAGCAGTTAGAATCTAATATGTAATATCAACACGTAATGGTAGCAAGCATTAATCATTAAAGAGGAATAAGAGCAATATTCCTAGCCTATAGAAATTAAAAAAACTGTTGATTTTCCGCCAGACTTAGCACATGCAAGTACAGAAGAGTTAAGCCTTATATAGGAAAATTCTTGAAACTCTGTTTTTTGAAAATGTTGTGTGAGATGCTAGTGATCCAATCTGATTCAATGACCTATAAAAGTAATACTAGAGTGGTTGAACTTTGGTTCCTTTAACAGTTATAGTATTATTTTCACTTACAGAACACCTTTCTTCAACTGACAGGCAATTCAATTCTTCTTGCTATAACAAACATTTTATAGTGTAACTGCATGATGTTTATAATAAAATGTATTGGTGTGGATATTGGTTTAGTTGTTTTCACAGTTTTTTAACTTCATTTTATTTCATAGTGTGAATAAACATTAAAAATTGTACTTCATCAATACACAGTGCAAAAACACTAATGTACACTCAGTGGACGTACCGGCGGTTCATCTCCAGTTCCCACCACAAACATGCTAACTTTGAGATAACCCTTTGCTCCTGAGCTTGAGTCGTCAGGGTCATTCAAGAGAATCCATTTCTTCATGATACAGTGAGCTGAGGTAGAAAAAAAAAAAAAAAAACTTCAAAAGATCTTTTCAACTACAGGTAAACATATGATGAGTCTTTTGTGATAGTCAGAAGAGTACCTTGTTCATCATAAATGTAGCCAATATCAAGCTACAAATAGAAGAAAAAGAACCTCATAAGTCAGTAATTAGAGTGTGAGAATAATTTAGGGGGTGAAAAGGAGTATAATAATTCACAGAAATACCTTGAATTCACCCATGAGACAGTCAGCTCTAAAAGAAGAAGCGTTATAGACCTGTAGAAAAGAAAAAACATCACAAATCAACTGTGCATTACTTGATCACTGTTTTTATTAAATATATATCTTATTATGAACACAAAAGAAAATGTGACCAATCGTTTTTTTCTTACCCGAAAGCTTATAACTTCATCAAACAGTTCAGATGGCAACATGTTGATGTTAAAAAAGAATATCTGTAGAGAGTCATATATAAATATATATTATTATATTTTAACTCAATTATATATAATTAAGTATTTGCACATAATCTTTGTCCATGAAGATTTTACATGAACTATTGTATGAAACTGAACCAAAGATATAAAGAAACAAGTAGCCAACTTAGTTATTAAGTAACTTAAAAAATTGTTTTAAAAGTGGTTATTTAAATAAAAAATGAATAAAAAAACAACAACAACAAAACATTAATTGCATACCTCATCAAAGTAAGGGTTATTCCCCTTCCTGATCCTTGTCCTGTGTGTTTCTCCACAGACATGCACTTTGACCACTGGTTTGATGTTATTTCCTGGCAACTGACGTCCTTCAATCACCCGCACACGAATCTTTTGACAAAAAGGCATTTTAAAGCGAGTGATCTAGCTTGGAAATGGAAGAGACACTGTATTTGGAAAAATGACTATAAGACACTCCTGTACCTGAAAGTCCTGAGGCTTATTAGCCAGGTTATTACGGTTCCTGGACCTAAGCTGAAGTTTCTGGCCAGGCTCGCCAGGGGATGTGAACGCACCCCGTGACCCAGCATCAGGGACATCTCCTGCTTCACCTTCAGCTGATCACACCGAAAAGTAAATGAGGTACGATGCACGAAATTATGTGTCAGTCACAAACACGCAATACAGCAAAAATGCTCAAAGCTACACAATTTTCACACATTCCCACAGTTTGTTTCCAACCATAAAGATTAGGGTTGCACAGTACTGTATATAGTTTTAGCAATATGATATCATAGTATGTGCATCTGCAATTATTAGATCGCATGATATGCAATGTACCAATTAATAATAACGATTGTATTATAGATGACCAGGAGCAATTGAACTGTTGAATGCATTCATGATTTGTGGAGTCATTGCAAAAAGGAACCAAAGTTATAGAAACGTTTCATCATTTGGGTTTTTTAGGGCCTGGGACTGTGTGAGCAGATTAATTTTAAAGCAATCAGGCATAACAAAACAATGTTTGTAAGAAAAAAATGTATTGTATTTATGTACATATATGATAAAGACTTGACAGTGTTATTTTAAATGTAATTATTCAATTAGTGTATCTAAATATTGCTAGACTCCCAAAATCATAAAGCACTTTTATGTTTACTGTTTGCTCTACTGTATTTATCAATGTCTGTGATTGGCTTATTATATGTTATGACCCCCACAAATATGTGTGTGTATAGACATTAATTAGTGCTGGGTAAAGATTAATCATGATTAATTGCATTCAAAATAAAAGTTTATTTTGACATAACATATGTGTGTGTTATATACAGTTGAATTATTAGCCCCCCTGAATTATTACACCCCCTGTTTAATTTTGTCTCCATTTTCTGTTTAATGGAGAGACGATTTTTTTTTCAACACATTTCTAAACATAACAGTTTTAATAACTCATTTCTAATAACTGATTTCTTTTATCTTTGCCATTATGACAGTAAATAATATTGGACTAGATATTCTTCAAGACACTTCTTTACAGCTTAAAGTGACATTTAAAGGCTTAACTACGTTAATTAGGTTAACTAGCCAGGTTAGGGTAATTAGGCAAGTTATTGTATAACGATGGTTTGTTCTGTAGACTATCGAAAAAATGTAGCTTTAAGGGGCTAAAAATTTACCTTAAAATGTTTTTTTTTTAAATAACTGCTTTTAATATAGCCAAAATTAAACAAATAAGAGTTTCTCAAGAAGATAAAATATTATCAGACAAACTGTGGAAAATTACAAGGGGTTAATAATTCTGACTTCTACTGTATTTATGTGTTATATATGTATTATGCAAATATGATATACACACACACACACACATATACATATACATATACATACATATATATATACATATACATACATATATATATATATATATATATACACACACATATACACACACACACACACACACACGGTAACACTTTACAATAAGGTTCATTAGTTAATGCATTTACTAACATGAACTACTCATGAACAACACATGTACAGCATTTAATCATAATTAAACATTTACTAATGCATTATTAACATTTAAGTCCATGCTTGTTAACATTAGTTAATGCACCATGAGTTAACATGAACTAACAATAAACTACTGTATTTTCATTAACAATTGTTAACAAACATGAACAAATACAGTAGTAAATGTATTGTTCATTCTTTGTTCATCTTAGTAAATGCATTAATTAACATTAACTAAGGAACCTTATTGTAAAGTGTGACCATACATACATACATACATACATACATACAGTGTATATCCTTTTACTTTGCAATCAAACAGAGAAGCATGAATAAAAAACTTAGCTAACCTGTGTCTCCACCAACGTTTCCATCTTGTTGATCAAGTGGGTTTGCACCAGCACCGGCAGGTGGCTCATATCCAACCGTCATGCTTATGGTTCCCTAAAAAAGACGCAGGTACTTTTTTCATAATAATGTGTTAAAATCACCCAAGCAGTTCACTATTCGGTGAACTCTCAATGATGTTTTCTCAGCTATGTGTATGCTGCTTAAAGTGTAACCATCTCTTATGTGTGAATATATTTGCATATACGGATTCAACTGGATGACTCTGATCTAGGAACAATTTGCACACACGAACGTGGTTGGATACGATGAACACTTCACCATGAATCCATTTGCATACAAATTTTGATTGGATATGATAGAGGCTGATGTGTGTCTAATATTATCATTTCTAATATTATTCTATTCACTATGACCATAGATGTATCTATATATACACACATGCTCTTCTCTATAAGCATTATAAACTTCATAGACTGCAGATTTGCTGTGATTGTGTCCTCTATATGTATGGCAGTTTTCTAAATAAGTAAATAAATAAATGAAAAAAAAGAAATCTGCATGCAATGATTAAGTGGACAATCACTTCTAAGAGGGAATGAAGAAAAAGCACAGCAAGGTGCATAAGACTACATTCAACAATAATTAAAGTCATACTGGATTAAATTTTCACTTATTTTCTTTGTCAATTTAGTTAGATTTTAGTTGTGGCTGCTAGCAAAGAAAAGTTGTCAAGAAAACATGCAGACAGTTCTAAAAAACAAAACAAAAAAGAAAAGATGGAAATTTGAACCAAATGGGATTTATTTATATTTTTAAATACATTTTTGGGTTGGTCCTTATTTTACCCAAACTTGCATGAAAACAACCTGAAAATCATTACATTAAAACAAGTGCATAAATTTTGCTATAAAATATGTTGCCGATCAAATATTTTAAACTGATGCAAAAAATTTTTTTGGTAGCCAACAAAATTATTAAATTAGATATTGCATATAATAAAAAATCATGCAAAAGATTACAATTTGTAACCATTATTAAATACGCATTATCAAAATATGCTGACAATGTAATAAAACAATTATTACATTCAAAATGATCAAATAAAATGCATTTTCATTTGTTTGCAAATAGATACAAGATAGAAAAAAAGAGAAAATATTACACTCACCCCTATGCTCTTGCCATTTTCATCCACAAGAGTCAAGTTTTTGACTGGGAGAGACTTAACTTGGCTACTGGCTAGGTCTTTTAAAGAGACCTTTGCAGAGCCAATCAATCTAAAACAAACAAAAAGATTATTAAAATGAAGGCTGGTGAGAACCTCATGCCAGCTGACTGATATACCAAACTTCTGTAAAACATAATATCCATCTTATATACAGTTGAAATCAGAGTTATTAAACAACTTTTGAATGTTTTTTCCTTCTTTTTTTTATTTATTTATTTTGTAACATTTCGCAAATGATGTTTAACAGAGTGAGAAAATTTTCACAGTATGTCTGATAACATTTTTTCTTCTGGAGAAAGCCTTATTTGTTTTATTTCGGCTTGAATAAAAGCAGTGTTTTTAATTTTATAAAAAAAAAACAAAAAAAAAAACATTAAGCTCCCCCCACCGATAGTCTACAGAACAAACCATTGTAATACAATAATTTGCCTAATTAGCCTATCCTGTCTAGTTAACCTAATTAACCGAGTTAAGCCTTTAAATATCACTTTAAGCTGTATAGAAGTGCCTTGAAAAATATTATTCAATTACATCATGGCAAATATAAAGTAAATCAGTTATTAGAGATAAGTTATTAAAACTATTATGATAAGAAATGTGTTGAATAAATATTCTCTCCAGGAAAAAAAAATAAACAGGAGGGCTAATAACTCAGGGGGTTTAATAACTCTGACTTCATCTGTAGGGTATGCTGCTACATAAAATGTTTGACTTTTCATTTTCACTTGAAAAAAACATTTGAAGAAAGTACACCATGAAATCAAACTCCTCATAATTGATACTCTTGGTCATATCGAGAGGTATTAATGAAGTAGGAAGATTAATATTGTTTTGTTTTAACTTACTCTTTATAATATTTTGCATAATATTTTAATTGCCAAAACTGACTCTCACACAACAAAAAGCTTTTCTACCAGATGACATCACAAATCCCCTTAACTTTTCTAACTTTCATATTTACAATAAATAAAGAAATAAAATCAGGAAATGTTTCAAATCATGGAAGTAAAACACATAGCATGAATGAATATTGACTGCTAACAAACATAGGTGGCATCAAATGTGTAAATATATCCATGCTTTGTGCTCTGTGAGGTCACAAGAGAGATCTCCTCCATAAGTAAATAATGGCATTTCGTAAATGAGACACTTAATAGTTCAGCATTCAGGAACACCCTCAAAAACCATGTTCCATCTGAACATAGAAATGTTTGCTCTTGATTAATAATTCTGAATTTACAAACAACAGCACCGCCAGCGTTTATCTTCTGAAAACATTCACATGTTAGCTCTACTCACTTAACTGGTGTTTTCGTGTCACAATAATTAAAAGGGTGCGTCCACAAACATTAGGCATAGGCACACTTCAAGACTCACTTGACAGCACCCATGAAACAAGGCCAGGCAAGCCAGATTTTATACATAGAGCATGAGTTTAACACAACCATAGATGGAGGGTTAAAGTCTTTAAGTTGAATTTAAAAAGCGTCCAATGGTGGAGAAGTCCCGATATTCAAAGGCAGACTGTTCTAGAGTTTTGTGGCTGAAACAGAGAAAGTTTGATCACTTTCTGATTTATAGCAAGACTGGGGAAAGATTAAAGAAATTGATCATTAAGATCTTAATGGTGTACAGGCTAAATATAGTCTATAATAAGATCACAAATACTGTTCGAGACAGAATTGTGCTATGCCTATGTGAAAAAGATCTTAAAATTCAACTAAATTTAATAAAGTGTCAGTGCAATGAGGTAAGAAAAGGGGAGATATGGTCCCTTTTCTTAGTTCTTGTTTACAATCTCATCTGCTGGATTATGAACAATCTGTAACCAAAACAGTGTTGATTAAGATAAAACAATGTAGCTTAAGTAATCAAACAGATAGGAAATTAATTCATGAATTATTTCTAGAACTTTACCAATTCAAGATAATAGAAAGCTATTCTTTTTATCTTCATTTACATGAATGTCTAATTGAAGAGGATCAAAGTTAACTCACACAATAATGAAAATGTTTTGGAAGTTATTACTTCAGAAACCCAACTGAGTTTTAATCAATTCAATAATATCAGCAGGACCTAATAAAAGCTTTTTGGTTTTATTGCCACTTCGTAGCAGAGAGCAGTAGCAGTCCATTTCTGGACTTCATCATGGCATGAAAACATTATTCTAATGAAAAGTCATTTTATAGTTTAATTGCAAAATATAGTTGAAGGCCATTGGCATAGCAATTGTGTTGTTTCTGGTATGGCTGCTTGATTATGGAAAAAATAATAATTATGATTATTTTAGTCATTACAGTTGAAGTCAAAAATATTTGCCCTCCTGTAAATTTATTTATTTATTTTTTTAAATAAATATTTTACAAATGATGTTTAATAGAATCAGGAATTGTTCACAGTATTTATAATATTTTTCTTCTGGAGAAAGTCTTGTTTTATTTTATTTTGACTAGAATAAAAGCAGTCTTAAATATTTTAAAACCTATTTTAATATTATTAGACCTCTTAAGCAATATTTTTTTGACTGCAGATGAAACGACTGTTATACAATGACTTGCCTAATTACCCTAATTAAGCCTTTGAATTGCACTTTAAGCTGAATACTAGTATTCTGAAAAGTATGTAGTAAATTATTATGTAATGTCATCATAAGAAATCAGTAATTAGAAATGAGTTATTAAATCTGTTATGTTTAGAAATGGGTTGAAAAAAGAAATTAGGGCAAAAGGGTCGCTAATAATTTAGGAGGGCTAATGATTCTGACTTCAACTGTAGATATACACACAGTTATTTTCCTCCCTGTATATAAGGAAAGGGAAATAAATACACTAGAATAAAAATATTAAACAAACTGTGCTTTAGGCATCTTCACTGTAAGAAAAAAAACTTCAATTTTAGCTATTAAAGTCCTTCAGTCAAGAGCAAGGAGTTATTTTGTCGTTTTTTGATCAAAGATAAAAACAGTCAGCAGAAGTATTATTGCACGCTGTCACTTTAAGAGCAGTACCGTTCTGATTTATGGTTTCACTTTGTCATGTCTTTTGATTCTCAACTCGTTTGTTTATTACATAAATGAGGGTTATTATGAATAATCACTAAACATCATGTTTTGACACTCATTTCCCTATTAAGACCATCGAAAAACGAAAATTAATTTTCGATTAATTGCACAGCCCAAGTTTACAGAGTATTGAGCCTAAAGTAATAATGTACAGGGAAATCATTAGATCCCTCTGGAACACTATAGTAGATAGAAGTTGGGGCTAAAATGTAAATGACACAATATTTGCAGAAAAGGTCTTCCTCTTTAAAACAATGTAGCTACAGTAATCAAACAGATAGGAAATTAATGCATGAATTATTTCTAGAAATTTACCGATCTAAGATGAAAGAAAGCTATTCTTTACATCTTCATTTAAGTGCTTGTTAAATTGAAGAGGATCAAAGTTAACTCACACAATCATGAAAATGTTTCGGAAGTTATTACTTAAGAAACCCAACTGAGTTTTAATCAACTCAATAATATCAGCAGGACCTCATAAAAGCTGTTTGGTTTTATTATCACTTTGAAGCAGAGAGCAGTAGCAGTCCATTTCTTGACTTCGTTATGGCATGAAAATATTATTCTAATGAAAAGACCATTTAAAACTGAATCAAAATGAATTTCCGATTAATTGCACAGCCCAAGTTTACAGAGTATTGAGCCTAAAGTAATAATGTACAGGGAAATCATTAGATCCCTCTGGAACACTATAGTAGATAGAAGTTGGGGCTAAAATGTAAATGACACAATATTTGCAGAAAAGGTCTTCCTCTTTAAATACAAGATGAAGCCCAACAACACACTAGAGTCATTTTAAATGCATATTGTAACATAAAACATCACATTTACCAAAAGTATCAATATAACTGATTACCCAGAAAATACAGACAGCAGAATGCCATTTGTAAGCCTAAGCAAATCAGACCCAGTATGACTGTCTGCTCTAAAACCATATTGTAATGAGTTTGAAATAAAAAAGTATCCAGATATTAATTAAACAGAGAGCACAACTTTCTCCAAAACATTTGAGATCAAGTGGCATCAAGTTGAGGTCCTTTAATAGGTGGCATATGACAGCATGTTTAAAGCTTTTTGGAAATATCCAATGATCTATAATAGAGAATTCTATAAAGATCAGTGGAAACATCCCAATTATTCAAAAGTTGTTAATTATAGAGCTATTTGTGTCTAAAGCTCTCTAAATAGACAACAAGGCAGAACATCTAACTGACAAATAGTGAGTTTCATCTGAGAAATTTGAGTGAGACAAACTAAGATGAAGACACTGGCTGAAAGTTTTAAAAAAAGACTACTGGATACCACTTTTAAACTACTTCTGAACACAAAGTAAGATATTTTTAAAAAATTGGAAACCTGCAACCTCTGACTTTCAGTGTTTGTTTTTCCTACTACAGGGGTTTTCAAACTGGGGTCCGCGGACTCCTGGTGGGCTGCAAGAGAGTGCTAGGGGGTCCGGGAAAAACTTGCCAGAAACAAAAAATTATTTACGAAAAAATTTTTTTCCAATCCTAAAATTATTAATGACTATAAATTATTAATCTATATATACACAGTAGTTTTATGATTTATATAAGTGGATACTTAATTGTAATGTGTTTACCCCAAAATCCTTTGCGCTCTTTAAGGTTTTGCATACAGTTGAATGGACCAATTAGCAGCTGTAAGTGCAGTACAGATGATGGAAAGATTTTTAAAGAATCCCGCTCCTGCCAGCATTTCATGCAAATCTGACTTGGCGTGCGTTAAGGCAAAAACAAGAAAGTATGACAAATCTTACATTGCGTTTGGGTTTACCAGCCTGTTAAAGCAGGGAGTTGACCCCAGTGTGTTCTTTGTTAAGAGATTCTCTCTAATGAATGCATGAAACCATCTAAGCTCAAGCGCCATCTACAGCAGAAACATCCCAATGAGGCAGAAAAATCGACTGACTATTTCAAACATCAGGAGTTGTGTTTGGCCCAGCAGGCTTGTATATTTCAGCAGCCAGCATTAGTCCCCGGAAGGTGGTTAAAAGTGTCATATTTGGCATCACTCCACATCGTCGCACACAGTTGGCAAACCATTGTTTTTGCCAGCTACCAAAGACTTCGTTAAAGAGTTATTTGGAGAGGAAGCAGCACAAAAAGTAGATAGTGTGCCTTTGCAGACAACACAGTAAGCAGACGCATAAGATCAATATAAATATTTAGCAGTTTTCCATAAATATAAGACAGGGAAAAAAAAAAAAACTACAGAAACTACAAATGTCCAGGTTTAACTTTTCATCTACCAGTGCTTTAATTTAGAAAAGCTATCTTGTTGAGTTAATGTAAATATTTCGTTGTTGTTGTTTTTTATGAAATATAAAAAATGTTGAGAATTATTTTTGGCTTTAGTGAGTTGCCAAGTAATAAAATAAATATTTTAAAAACTTTTAATTCCTTTACATTATACAGAATTTTAGCTTACATATTTATACTCGTAATACATAAGTGCCTTTAAACTTTAGGCAAAGGGGTCCCCTGCAAGGAATCATCATATTTGGGGGGTCTCTAAAATTAAAAAGTAAAAAAAAAACCCTGTCCTACTATACACGTTAAAGGTTTATATTTCTTCAAAATATATCTTTTTTGTTTACAACAGAAGAAAGCAACTCACAAAGGTTTTTAACAACTTGAGGGTGAGTAAATGGGCAGTCCATTTTCATTTTGGGGTGAACTATGCCTTCAATGGTTTTAAAGAGAAATTTAAACCAAGTGGACATTTTTGCAGTCAAGTTTGGGAAGTAGCACAGATGCCAGTGCACAATATTTATAAAAACATTAAATACTTAACAATATACTAAAATCTCTGGTTGTTATACTATTTCCATCTAAAAAATTAAAACATAATAATAATAATAATGATGATAATAATAATACCTAGGTGAATGAAAAGCAATTTCTAATGATCAGAACAAATTATTAGTTAATTATAAGAGAAATAAAAAACAATAAAAAGTGATGTTTTTATTATTGTTATCGCAGTCAAAGAGGTATAATCAATAGAATCTTTTTATATTGCTCCTATCCTTAAAAAAAAAAAAAATTCACAATAAACAGTCAACAGTCAAAAAAGTTTTATGGAATAAAATGTATAATATCAGGTAAAAACAGTCTAATAAACATGTTTCAGATGAAATACTCACTGAGTTGTTTGTGTTGATGAAGCCAAAATAAAATAATGATCAATCTGGGAAAACCCTTCTCCCAAAAACTTTAATTACCACAACATCCTGTGATGATGCAAAGTCAATTCTCATTAGTCTTCAACCTAATATTCAAAAACTGATGATCCAAGTTCAAACATGCCATGATGGCAAACAAAGTAAAGATAACCACACCTTCCAGCGTTTCACCTCATTCTATTTCCTTTATGCAATATTATTTCTGTGATCTTTACTGGAGGTAATGCCAAGTATGGCTAATATTTACTCTGGGAAGCAGTGAAGACACATCTCATCCTGCATATTAGCACACACCTAAAAGCATTTAAATGAGAATTCAACTATAAATGTGTGTTTGCAACAGATCTGGCTTTGCAGGAAGCAGTTATTCGGCTAGATTAGTGCCATGATGCTCTTCATTTGCCAGACAGTTGTAACTAATTTGAAACGCTACAATGTAACTTTTGTTGCAAACAGCAAATTAAATGTGTGCCACAAGTATTTTGCAAAGTACAACGTAGGATCAACATGCCAGAGCTACATTTTTAGACAGTCCTCCAAACCCTGAAACCAGTGGGAAATTATAAAATTAGATAAGCTTGCCCTATCCAGAAATCTGATTAACTTAATATTGCTTCAAGAGCAAGAACATGTGAGCACATAACATGTCCTATATATGAAAATGGACAACAAAATCAAAGAATATAACTATAAGATCAGGTCTATACAGAATTATCACAAACAAAGGTTGTGTTTAAACAAAACCATTTTCAGCTAAAAACAAAACATTTAACATTGAGAAAGGCATTAAAAATAAAATATTTAATGCCTTTTAGCCATTTATTTACATAAAGAAAAACAAGATAAATAAGCTTAAGCTGAAAGCACAACAAAAATAGGGGGAAAATGCTCATAAATTGTTCAAAATTAAATTAAAATTTAAAAATGAAATATTACTGCTTTTTCAAATCTACTGGCAAAAATAACAACTTAAAATCCCTGAAATCAGATGCAAATTGAGCAATAACTTGTGCAACAATTTTGAAACAGCGTATAGGCACCCTTTCAACACTGCAACAGGTAAACAAAGACATATCAGTATAATTGCACTCATATGTAAACAAGGGCCTAAGCTACATGTCAGGGCATAAATATTTACATTTAGTCATACTCGACACATTACTTTTTTACTTTTGTAATCAAGCTCTGCCTATCAGACTAATAAAATTAAAATGAAACTCTTCTTTTTTATTTGTTTTAAAAGCGTTTCACCATCCGTCCAGTGTAATTTCTCTAATTGATAATCATGTTTAAAAACTGGAAGTATACAAGAACATATTTATACAATGCAGGTCTGCAGAAAACTACACTATTTTTGTTAATTTATTTTATATATCAGAAAAGCTCACTAATAACGCTTCATGGGAGTGTAGTTGATATTTAAAAGTAACTGTAACATATGAAACCCCTAATATTCTTTTCTTTACTCAATAAATGATTTTTTTTTAGTAAGATAAAAATCATTTTATTGATAAAACCCTTGCATCATTCTGAAATGAATAACTTGATTAAACACATTTAATCGAAGACATAGTATGATAGTGATTTAAATTTAATTTGGATTAAATATAAAGTATGTCAATGAAAATCATATATGCAAATATAAAAAAAAATTATTAAGTTCATGAAGCTCAGTTTCTAAAATAGAGATCATGACATCAACAAGACAATTTGCATGAATGTAAATTCCACTGGAAGTTATGTCCCTCTCTGTTCAGCAAAGGATTTGCTCCAAAGCTGTTCCCACAGAAAAATCTGGAATAACTGGAAATACATGCAATTTATAGCTCAAAAAGCAACTTAAGATCCTTTTATTTATTTCTAGTCAGGTATATTTACATAAAAACTGCATTTTTGACCAGTAAGTAACAATCACTTATTCATCCAGCATGGCGAAACAAATGCCTTCGTTCCACCCCTCATGGTATTATAGAGCAGGTCTGAACAAGGCTGTGAGGGTGTGAGAGCCGGAGGGTATTAAAGCGTCAAACCAAGAAAACCAATATTATTCCCTAGTTTCTTGAAATGCAGCGACTACACATGACGGCAGCAAAAAAATGTGACAGCATGAATGAACTCATGCCAAATTTAAATGCCAGTGTTCAGCTATTCAGATATTGTTTAAATTGCCACAGATTTACAGTAGCCTTACGTGCGTCATGTGATCTTATAACAACTCACATTCAGGTAAAGGCCTCTGGAAATAATCTGCATATGTTGAAATAGTTACAAACTTCTAGCTGCTTCAAATACGCATGTCACCAACTGCATCAACCGGTTAAATTTCACTTAAACATTTTAATCTTGACTAAAACATGCCACAAATAAGTGTTCTGGTTTTATATCATTACAGCTGAAAAATCATGTGTTTACATCGTAAGAATATAGAGGAGAGAGACTGCAGTGGCTCAAGCTGGACAAATATAGCAGTTTGGTGGACTTGTCATTTTTAAAATAGTTCAGTGGACCCCATACATGAAATGTAAATAGTTTTTGCTCAAAATCTCCTAATGATTTATCTTTAGAAAGATTCGATTTTAAAATAAAAAATAAATATTCTGCCAATGTTGGAATGTTCGAATCCAGCAGCCACTGGCATCCAAAACAGATACTATGCACTAAAAAAAGAAATCTGTAATTTTACAGTTTATTTCCAGCAGAAAAACTGCAAAATCACCACTGTTAAATTACAGAAATTTCCTAAAATTTAAATTTTTGGTAAATTTCTGTAATGTAATATTTGATATTTTACAGTAAATTGCTGTAATTTAACGGCCGTTATTTAACTTAACACCCCAGCTGCCGGAAATAAAACGTAAAATTACTGATTTTTTTTTTTTTAATAGTGTGGAAATCAATAGTTACAGGTTTCCAGCATTCTTCAAAATATCTTCAATTGTGCTTAACAGAACAAAGAAGTCAAACTGGTTTAGGACAAGAAAAGAGTGAGAAAATGACAGATTTTTTGTCTTATGACAACACAATGCGGTAAACCTACAATGCTGATTGTTTGAACAAATACATCATATAAAATAAATATATCCTAGCATATAACATGTGAAGAGTAACTGGTGGTTCATTCAGCTGTGGCTGTCCCTGATAATGAAGGGCATAAGCTAGCATGCCAATGATTGTGGTCATTGGGCAAAAAAAAAAAAAAGAAAGAATGACTAAAAGTGAGAGGTAAGAATTTGACACAGTTAGTGTATATTTTCACAGAAAAATGCTAAAATTTTAAGAAATCTTTAGGCACTAATAATTAGAAAAAATGTCCAGTGAAATCCTGAAGGAACTAAATAAATGCAACTAACAAAACATTTATGTAACTTTAAGAAATGGAAATGTCCATTACATTCCAAGAACTCAAAACTCTTATACACTATTTAAACTTCTCCAGTCACACAACTTGTATTTGATCAGGGTGGGAGCAAAAGTTCAACATCACAATGTTTGTCTTACATTGGTTAATTTAATGAGTGTATGACTCATTTAGAAGGAAAGAAAGAAAGAAAGAAAGAAAGAAAGAAAGAAAGAAAGAAAGAAAGAAAGACTTACTTGTCCTTGCCGAGAGTCTCGTAGTCTTTCACAATCACATCAATGTAGGAGGAAGAATCAAGAGGAACACCTTTTAAATCAAACTGAAGCGTCTAAGGTGAAAACAAAACAGTATGTAACACAAAGCAAAACAGCATCTGAAGTAATGATAATGTGCAGTTAGTCATGCGTTAAAGTAAATAATAACTTATTTACAACATTGGCAGTTTATATAGGCCCATGTTAGCTCATTTGCAAAATCATTAAAGATTTAAACTTGAATATCTCAACAGACCTCATTCCACACCGGATTCACTTCATTGTTAATCGACCTTGTTTTCTTCTTTTCGTCTTAAATAATATAAAATCAAACAAAACGAACATTAGGTGCCGTTATTTTGCTGGTTAATGGTTAAATGTGAAACACATGAGGAGCACTTACCTCTAAACACCAAAGACGCGATGGGGTCTGGACTGCCCAGTTTCTTCTTAGGCAGATCCGCCGCAGATTCAACTGCCACGCGCAACATGACAGATTAAAAGGCTTTCGCTTATTAGTGCTCTTTCATGGTGATGTGTCTCTGTATGTGAGACTGTGCGTTCATTGCATCGCCCTCATCCTTTAGGATAGAGTTTGTGAAGGGTGTGGACTTCTCTGACACTGTGGCAGACTGCCTACCTGTGGACTCGAATTTTGCGGAAGTGATGCTCATACAATTTCTTTTAAACGATGGAATTCTTTTGAATCTTAATTTAATATTTTATCAAGTACATTTACTTCATGCTCTTCCAAAATGCATTTAACTTACTAACCTCGTTTTAAAGTTTAAAGGTGTAATACAAGCGCCATCTAACGACGCACCAAAGAAATCACAATAATAAAAACGCTCATGAACTGAACATGCTGAGAAATGTGTGCGCGCGCGTGTGTGTGATCATTATGTTCAACATTTTAAAAGCGTATGTGTATACAATATTTATATGTAATATACCTTTTCCAATATTTAAAATATGATTAATTGTTTATTTGACTTTGAACGTTGTTTTTTCTAAAAACAAATGATAATATTTTTATTTGGAAAAATAGAAGCAACTAATTTATAATCAAAGTTTAAAAGGGTAATAGGGCGCAAGTTGTCAATAATAGCTTGGACTTTGTCTGGTTTAGGAATGAGATATATCACACCTTGTTTCATAGGGATCATTGATCCATTTTCTAAACACTCTTGAAGCATTAAAAGAAAGGTTTGCTCTAAAAATTCCCAAAAATGTATAAAAAATTCTAACGTTAGACCATCAGAGCCAGGCAATTTACCTTTGTTCATTAATTTCATTGCATCTCTAGTTTCATTTAAAGAGATAGGAGCTTCACATAATACTTTAAATTCATTACATTTCTGAGGTATAGAGTTTTCTATTTGTAGTAGGTAAGATCCATTTTGGTTTGCCTGAGAGTCAAGGGAGTATAAGTTTCTATACAATTTTGAGATAAAATTTTCAATTTCTTACTATTTTTAGATAAAGAGTTATTCATTTGTAAAGCAGAAATAATCTTTCTTTAAGTGTTTTTTTTTTCTCAAGTGTGAAAAAGATGCTTGAATATTTCTCTTCTTGCTTAACTCACTTTGCTCTGTCTGGATCTAACAAAGAAACCTTTAACAATTTCTATATACAACTGGTCTAATTCTATTAGATTTTAAGATTTTAACTGAGTAATTTCATGAACATTGAATTTCTTATCTTTTCTAATCAAGGCATTTATGTTGTTTAATAAATTAGCTTTAATTTAGCATTAACCACTCTTAAGGCTTTAGATCTGTTTATAGCTAGAGCTTTACATTTTATGTAGCTTTACATTTAAAATAATCCCAATTTAGCACTATGTGTCTCACAGTTTTTGAAAGTATTTCATTAGCTAAATATTTAGTCTGATTATTATATTATTATATATATATATATTGTATTCAGTGCAGTATGGTGGCGCAGTGGGTAGCACAATCACCTCAAGCAAGAAGGTTGCTGGTTGAAGACCCAGCTGGGTCAGTTGGTGTTTCTGTATAGAGTTTGCATGTTTGCATGGGTTTCCTCCTCGTGCTCCAGTTTCCCCCACAAGAGGGCCAAGAGATTCAACAATATCTGCTTTAAATTTATTGGTCACCTGCTGAATGATTGGACCCATGATTAAAATAGGTCTTATCACCCCACTGTGATTTCTATTCTCAGAAGAATGGGTTTCTTGTAAAAGTATCATTTTCATATAAAAATAAAGCTTTTCTTTTTGTAAGATCTCTCAGGTCACGGGTATTTAACGAGATAATACTCAAAGAGTTAAACTCGAAGTTTTACACTTTCATATTTTAAAAAAAAGATTAATAGAATATATGATATTCTATAATATTTATAGAATAAAGTCTAATGCAAATAGAACAAAATTTACAATGCACACTTGAACTTACCGCTAAACGTGTAATGACAAACAGGAGTATAAAGCTAACATGAACCTTTGCTAGTAGTGCAATTACTTATGTGAGAACAAATTACATAGTCATAACAGTCAATAGGGAAAAAAAACAAGAGTCTTAGACTCCATATTCTTCAAATAGAGATTGTTTAGATAATTCAAAAGTTATGTTTGGCTACATATGCTCCGTAAAGGTTAGGCATTTAGGTAAGTTCAAGCTTTTTTCCAGAAACAAAAGCAAAGAAGACATTCCTTAAAGCCTTTTTCCCTTCCTCACGAGCCTTCTTGACTAGGGGCCATAACTTGCATCCACATCCTGTTTAATCAAGTCTCCTGGATGCAAATGTTGTTTTTCGCTCGATAGCGAGAGTCTTTTGGAGCTTGCCATACAATGTCCCTGTAGGTGCGCATCGTAAAACGCATCACAATGTTATGAGGTGCTCTGTCGGATTTCCTTAGCCCCAGGTGGTACATCAATTACATCTTCCATCTTGTCTTGTATGCCAGGGACCACCTGTTTCAAGATGCTATTTGACAAAGCTTCTCGTATCTTCTCCGTCACGCTCTAGAACCCCCTGTAACTTGAGATTCCATTGCCGAAAATTCCGCTGCATTTCGTCAAAGTTCTCTTTTAGAAGTAGGTTTTCTGCTCATAATTCTTTATTCTCCTTCTCAATTTGAGCTATTCTTACACTATGCGTCTTGATCTACTAAAGAAAAGCGACTAAAAACTCAACTATTTAGTCTCCACTTTCCTTACTAATATGCAACTCCCTCTCTGACTCCTCCACTAGCTACAAATAAATAAATAAATAAATAAATATATATATTACTAATGCTTTCCTTCTTAGACTTTACACACCTAAAACTTGCCAACAGCACTTATTCATTGTTGCTCTTATAGTCGTGTAAATTGCTTCCTTGTCCTCATTTGTAAGTCACTTGGATAAATGCGTCGGCTAAATGACTAAATGTAAATGTAATGTACTCACTCATGTGGGAGACTTTTTCAGACAATTTATCAAGTTTTTCACAGGAGACAGCAACTGTATTATCACTGGAAATCACATTGTCGTGTGTTTCATCCAAATTAGCGGTTAGCTTCTGAATCGCGTCAAGGAGTGTAGATAAAGAGATTTTGTTTATACCTTTTGACCTTGCAGAATTCTTGGATGGAGCAGAACAAATAGGCTTTGCAAAAACCTCTACATTGTAACTAATTTCTGTCTCAAGATATTCTTCATGTTTGCAGACTCCATGCACGCTTCAATTTTAAATAACAGTGTTTACATAGTATATCCAAAAATGTACTATTATGAAAGAAATGTTTGCCATTTGAAGAAAATGCTTCATTCAGACATGTTTATGGCATTTTGAATGCAGTGTTACATTTTGAAGGAAATGTGAGACATTTTGTATTTTGTGTGTGCAGTTTTGGAAATTGTGTGAAGATTTTTGAAAAAAAATGGTGACATTGTTTTTTAAATTTGTGTAAGCAGTTGGAAAAAAAAACATGCAAGCACATTTTATAAATTAAGGTCCATTTTGTCAAAACACTACACACAATTTACACATCCACACACAAACATCAGAACATATCAGTATGTGTGCAAAATAATGCAAATAAGCAAAAGTGTCTTTCCCTCGATTAAATTGCAGCATCTTAGCAACGTCTGTACTAGAAGTCTCTCTCAGCCATTGCTTCTTTTAGGAAGAGCGTGGATTCGAATCCCACAGGTGCCAGGTAGTTCTTTTAGGATGCTTGAGAATGACCTCTCTGCTTGAGCATACAGACTTGCAAAGTGATACAGCATGCTCCTGGTCACATCCAAACGTAGCCTCCTTGGCCAAAGTTGAAGGGCTTCACTAGGAAGCTCGGTGTCCTCTCTGCTGTTCTGCTTTCGTAAAATTGGGCAGAAAATGGCCCAAGGCATGGAGGCTGCCAGGGTAGTGTGGCTGTGGGGTCTAAGGCGCTGGATTTAGTCTCCAGTCTCTTCGGGGGTGTGGGTTTGAATCCCACCGCTGCCAGGCAGTCCTTTTAGGATGCTTGAGAATGACCTCTCTGCTTGAGCAAACAGACTTGCAGAGTGATACTGCATGCTCCCGGTCACATCAAAACATAGCCTCTTTGGCCAAAGTTGAAGAGCTTCACTAGGAAGCTTGGCATCCTCTCTGCTGTTCTGCTTTCGTAAAATTGGGCAGAAAACGGGCCCTCGGCATGGAGGCCACCTGGGTAGCGTGGCCGAGGGGTCTAAGGTGCTGGCGTTAGGCTCCAGTCTCTATGGGGGCGTGGGTTTGAATCCCACTGCTGGCAGATGTGGTTTTAAACAGGGCAAACTGCTTGAGTGTGTGCACGTGTCCTCTGTGATAGCTCGATATGTGAGAGTACACTAAAGTTGGCAGCTAGTCAGTATAATGTGTTCTTTGGAACTCACGGCAGACTAGTTGTTGTGACGACAACACATCCCCAAGCTTGAATCTGCTCAGCAGCAAGTGTCTTTCCCACGATTAGATTGCAGCATCTTTGCAACGTCTGTACCGGAAGTCTCTCTCAGCCATTGCTCCTTTTAGCAAGAGCACCCGGTTGAAACAGGAACAGTAATGATTCAGTTAGAGTATTAATACTTTATAACTGGATTTGAATATAATAACAACAACAATGTGGGGTCTGCTGTGATGGAATCAGTAACTTTCACTCTTTTGTGAAATAACAGTTACCTTGTAATACGGTGCTTAAATACATTACAGCTGGCTGCCATTTGGAGTAGACATCAAATGTCTCGAGGTGTGTTTAAATAGAGATGGAACTGTGGTTTACAGGAAGGTGGGAGTGCTTCCGAAGCTGGTATTGAGAGCTGGTATTGTGGAGGAGCTCCAGCAAGGCACAGCCAAATTTATTAGATTTCACAGCGCTGCTACGTGACATGACGCAAGTTGGTGGGAAAAGTGCTCAGGGATAGCACATAGGCATGGTAGCGTGACTGAGCGGTCTAAGGCGCTGGATTAAGTCTCCAGTCCCTTTGGGGGGCGTGGGTTCGAATCGCACTGCTTCCAGGCTTCTCTATGAAGCTCGGCGTCCTCTCTGCTTTTGTAAAATTGGGCAGAAAACGGCCCACGGCATGGAGTTTTAAGTTACTAGAACTCTAGTAAATGAGTAGTAGAAAGGCATGAAGGGTGTGAATTTTCTGATGAATGCCTGCTTCAGGATGTAACAAATTTCCTTTCTTATGTCTT